TTATCAAGGATGTTATAATAGTTGTATGGTAACAGATGGTAGCTACACTTGTGGTGAACACAGCATAATGTATAAATTTGGGGAATCCCTATGTTGTACACCTGAAACTAACGTAATCTTGTGTGTCAACTATAGTCCAATGTAAAAAAATTTAATAACAGTTTTCAGTAGTCTGGAAACAGTGCTGCCTTTGTCAGCTCATTTGCCTATAAACATGCCAGTGATCGGCCAAACATATTTATATGGTAATATTTATCATTTTTGGAGGAAAAACAGTATAAAAACCTAGAGTCTTGAAAATAAAAATTAGCTGGGCCTTCAAGTTTGTCTAGGCCAAAAGAGGATTTTATAGAGACCAGGAAAATGTAAAAAGCTTGCCTACGGAAGATCAAATGGCTAGTTACAGAATAATTAAAGATAGAAACTGGAGCTTCCTGACTCCCAAGTTTGTCATCAGATGATCACGTCAGTTTGAGAGATGATGGAGTAAGTCTGCCTATGTTCAGAACTGCACCCGGCTCCTCAGCTCAATGGTGACAATCACACAGGTCCACAGTTTCCAAACCTCAAATTCTGAAAACCCAGAGTTTTTCTGTAATTCACATGGAAGCAAAACCTGACCCAAGCTGATGAAGCGGTTTCTAATCTTTATTTATCTTATTTAGTGTGGTTATTCATGTTTCACTACAGAAATATTAATATTTGATTACAGGGTACTTGCTGCTCTAGACCCCAGTGAGGGGGTTTTCTGCAACACATCTATCCTCAAGGTATTTTTTTGAATAAGGGGTTGTATACATGTAGGACTTAATGTCATAGAATGGTTGTGAAAATTAAGCGCTCAGTAAAACGTTAGATGTTGCTCTTACCACCAAGAAAATCCCAGAAGCCCAATTTTGAACTATAACAGGGGCGTCTTCCTATACAAGTATACATCAGTGCAGTCATTAGAACTTTCTACATTGATGGAAATGTTCTTTATCTGGCCATTCAGTAGAGTAGTCATCAACTATTGGATACTTGAAATTCAACTAGTGTAACCAATGAACCAAATTTTTAATTTCATTTAAATTTAAATTGCCACATGTGGCTGGTGGCTAAGTGGCCATTTTAGTGCTAGTGGCTGCTATATTGGACCAGTGCAGTTCTGTATTTGAGTTCCCGTTCCGTTTATTCTTTACTTTGCTATTTTTGTAATTATCTTATTATCTCTTTGTATTGATTAAGTTACATGATCCAGCAGATTATTTATTGGCTAACACAGCTGGTATGAGAGGGAGAACTTATGTTTCTATGTCCATCCTGGGCTTATCATCAGCTAAATAGGTGCTTCTGTCTTCACGGCTTTTTAAAGACTTAATAGTAAAATGTACATGTTTCAACGTAAACTTGACACGGGCAACCTCTAATGAAATAAACTTAAATGATGCGTAACGCATAATGTATCTATGCCGAGAAGTCCCTAAACTCAGAGACTGTAAGTAGCAGAAGGTTTTCTGGTAAGTGTGGAAAAAGAAAAACTTCATTGTCAAGTTGTCTTAGGATAGCAGGATGTTCTAACATGTTCAGTGTTAGTGACAAAATGTGCTAGCATGTTCACATTTCTTAAGCAGATGTTATTTTGCAAAAATGATTTCCATACACATTTTAAATGTGATAGTATGTATAATATCAATGTTTTTGATAGGCTCTAGGCTAGACAAGAATTGTTTTTAAATTTTTAACGTTTTATTTTTGCGAGAGAGACCGACAGACAGAGTTGGGGGGGGGTGGTGCAGGGAGGAGGGGCAGAAAGAGAGAGAGGGAGACACAGAATCCGAAGCAGGCTCCAGTCTCTACGCTGTCAGCACAGAGCCAGACGTGGGGCTCGAACTCATGAACTGCGAGATCATGACCTGAGCCGAAGTCAGAGGCTTAACGGACTGAGCCATCCAGGCGCCCCAAGACAGGAGTTAGGGTGCATCGGCGAGAGTACAAGATGCAGCTCTTCCTAATATTTTTCACAGTATATTTGACTGTTCAGTATCATGATGTGGATGTTATCTTTACCTGTGGGATTCCATGGTTGCCTTTGAAAAAAGGGCAATGGAAACATTCCTGTCTTCACTAAATCTTAAATTGACGAAAAAGAACAGCATAGGCAGAGGCATCCCCATGTGTTTCTGTTGAGGTTAGAAACAACAAGCTACCCCCCTAATTCAGGAGGTCAAGTGAGGTGAAAAAGTGTGGTATGCTGTGGTTAATAACTCAGAAATGAGAATTTTTAGACAATGTGTATATGGTTAAAAGTTGTGTTTATTGAACCTAGGTGATTTCTCTTAAAAAAAGAAAGAGTACAGTTTAAATTATCAGGTTTTCCATGTCTTAATTTTATAGCAAAAGGCCAATAAATTAAGGCAGTAGAAAAGAACAGCCCCTGTTACATAGTTGAGTTTGAAAAAAGAGCAAGTTACAGAAGGACACGAAGTGTGTATCCGTTTTTATGGTGTGTATACATTCTGCATACACACTTTATGTGGAAGGATACACATACCAACTTGTAAACAGCGTCTGCTCCTAGGGAATGGGCATGTGGACAAGGGGGAGGGGCAAGGCACTTGTACTTTTGCTTCTTACCTGTTATTTGGATTTTTACAATGAACATGAATTATTTTTGTAATTTTTAAAAAATAAAATTGATACTATTTTTTAAATGCTAAAATTGGCTAAAATTAATTTTAAACCATATTCTGCATAATAAATTCTTTGTGTTAAAAAGCTTTTTGTAAAACTTCCAGGGCACTTGGGGGCTTAGTCGGTTAAGGGTTGACTTCAGCTCGGGGCATCACCTTACGGTCGTGAGTTTGAGCCCCGCGTGTCAGCCCCACTGATAGCACAGAACGCACTTCAGATACCGTGTACCCTTTCTCTCTGCCCCCTACCCTGCTTGCATGCACGCACACTCTTTTTCTCTCAAAAATAAATAATTATTTTTTTTTTTTAAAAAAAAGCTTTTTGTAAAACTTCCATAATGATAATTTGAGTTGAAAATATATGACATTTCAAAAAGTTTTATTATAGGGGTGCCTGGGTGGTTCAGTAGGTTCAGTGTCCGATTCTTGATTTCGGCTCAGGTCATGATCTCATGGTTGGTGAGGTAGAGCCCCATATTGGGCTCTGCACTGACAACGTGGAACCTGCTTGGGACTCTCTCTCACTCCCTCTCTCTCTCTCTGCCCCTCCTGCCCCCCCCCCCAATAAAATAAACAAAAAAGTTTTATTATAAATTGTGGACTAGATTTGGAGTCAGCTTTTACCAGATTTTCTTGTATAGATTTGAAAAATATAACTGTTCAGGCTAGAAGAAACCATTTCCTGAAATGCCGTGTTTCGTTCTACAGTGGGTAGCAGGCTTATTGGCTGGTCAACCTGCTCAGCCTCTTCAGAAGGTATTTTGCATATGGTCAAACCCTTGCCTTGAAAAAGACTGAAGAAAGTCAGTGACTACAAGATGGTCAGCCACACAGACAAGAACACAGCCCAGAGGATGTGTGGAAGACAAGAGCTGGTTTAATAACAGTTGAACCCCAGACTTCTAGAAGTCTTCAGTGATGAGTCTCTGGAGGGCCTCCATTGATGTGAGAGATGTAGCAAAAGGAATATACAGTAGTATGAGATCTTAAGACACTGAGTTTGGGAAGTTTAGACTCTAATCTACCTTTAGGTAATGACAATGTGCTTCAGAATACACAGGATACGAAAAAGCCAAGTCATCCAAGTAATACACCAGCAAAAGAAAGGTTTCTTAAAAGGAAAAAAAAAGAAAAAAAAAAAAAAAGGCTCCCTTTGTTTTTTATAGCTCTGGAGTTGGAAAAAATGTTTAAATTCTTTTAAAAATGCTTATACTAGCCTTTAATCATGTGAAAAGCTGCTTAAGCTCACTTTTAATCAATTTTAAATTTTAATTACGTCAGAAAATTAATGCAAATGAAAACCATATCGAGATACCAATTTTCATGTTTCAGATTGGTAAAAAGTCAAAAATTATACAACATTCACTGTTGACAAGGCTTTGGAAAAGAGGAACCCTAATCTGTTACTGGTGAGAATGCAAAATGATAGAACTTCTCTGGAGGGCAGTTTGGCAACATCTATCCAAATTGCAAATACATTTCCTCTGTGATCCAGCAGTCTCACTTTTAGGACCTTTGTTCTGCACAGACGTGTCATTTCATGTGTGCGTTGCAGGCATAATTTACAAGGCTCTTTATTACACAATTGTGGGTAACAGAATTTTTGGAAACAACCACAGTGTCCATCTAAAAGGGATTTTTTTTAAAAACAAAAACTGTTTTTCAGTGTATCCACACAATAGAAATCTATGTAGATGTTTAAAGAAAATAAAAATAAAGAAGAGAAACTCTGCACATACTGGTATAGGAAGATCTCTAGGTTATGTTGTAAAAGGAGGGTGGGGGGAGTACAGAGTGTTGATCTTTTGTGTGAGAAATGGTGAGAAATAATATGTGTTGATACTATATGTTCTAGAACGCTATACAAGAAACCAGTAAAAGTGGTTATCTCAAGAGGACCTGGGGGGAACTAGATGGGAGTAAGACTTCCTGGTTGTATACCTTTTGGTATATATAGTTTTGATTTTGGTACCATATGATAATCACTGAGACTTTATCTTTGCTACAGTAATGGTAGATATCTTGGCATATCTTAAATTGGGAGTGGATGTTGTAAGCATCATGTGGTATACGGAGATGGGATTTTTACATTGATGTCATTTAACATCCTATGAGTGTTAACTAATAATAGCTGTGAACCTACACATGTATTCTTTATGTTAAACTAGCAGGTCTCAGTTATGTTATTTTGTTAATGCTAATTTACACCTTTTTTTTTTAACTTAAAGACAATAATGAAACGTAGTGAGATCGAACTCCACCATACTGTAAACTCCATGAGGACTTGCTGCCATGTGATTTAACATTTTTTTTTTCTCATTTCTCTAGGGCCTATTCCCTGGTGGATTCCAGTCAAGTGTCTACATTTCTGATTTCCATTCTACTTATAGTCTATGGTAGTTTCAGGTAAGATGCTCTCAGGATGGGACAAATTTCATTTGGAGGTGGAAGCAGCATTGTGCGGGAAGTATGAAAACTTGCTGCTCTGTGAAGGGAAACATGACTTTGACAAGAATCGAGTTAGAGTGGGATAATTCTGAAATTTATTCTTTGGTTGGCTGCCGGTGAAACACTTCATTTTAATGCAAACATGTAAATATTGCTTGAAAATTAAAATTTAAAATTGCTTAAATTCTGGTTCTGAAAGTAATGACTCCCATAAGTGTACTCATTTAAAGATCAAGGAGAGAAGCCTTGACAACGATTCTACCGTCTCAAAGGGAACAGCAAGTTTTTCTTAATACAAAGGCATTGACTTAGGTTGAGCCACATTGAGCAATTGCCAATGATTTCATATGGTTCAGCCTACTATTATTAGGATCGTGCCCAGTATCATTCCCCAAGTATTCTGTCTACTGACCTTGGAAATGCTGAGACTGGATCCTCTTGAAATTCCTGTCCTAAGCAGGCAGCCATAGGAATACAAAGGAAAGTCAGGAAGCTAGATACTCCCTTCTTTTCACACTCCTTACTTGAGGGAGGAGCTTTAGTGGTTATACAACACAGATGTCTTGTGGCTTATATATTTACAAATGGAGGCTGTATGATAATTTTTAAATTGAGAACTTGAAAGGGGGTGACTGATAAATAATCAGGCATAAGAATTTTGAACTGTCCAGTATTATATCTGGATTTGGATGAGTACTTGGTAAAATCAGACCTCCAGGCTTTATCCCAATACTGGGTAGAACAAGTAAAATACATTGATAATTCCAGTATCAGCTGATGAAAGTTTTAATCATTGAGATTTCTGCCGAGAGCCCTAGGTTCATAACCACTCTGAGAAGGCCTTAATCAAGCCAGAGCAATTTAGAACCTAATCAACATAATCTTGATATTTTGTTATCTGTCCTTTGGATGAGTTTCTGATTTTTTCTCTTTGAGTATATCATGTATCAATATTTCAGAAAACTTTGTAATTAAAACCAAAATCTTTTAGACTCAAAATTCGAATACTTACTTTCATCAGTAGAAATGACTTTTTGTTTGGCGTGTATTTATATACGGTGTACATTTTCGTAATTTAACTCATTTATATTCTGATTATTTTTACATAACAAAAAATATTTTCCTTGATCATCTTCATACTAATTTTTAGTAATTTGATATTTCTTTTTGTTACTACTCTTATTCTACTTTTGTTGGACATGTAGATGGTTAAAGTGACCATCTTTTTATTTTTATGTGTTCTGTGGCTGGTTGAATTATATCCTTAAGTCAAATATCTGAAAGTTGAAATACTTTGCCAGAGAGTATGAGCTGGCTGTTACTACATATATATTGCCATATTGTTTCCCAGAAAGGTTATAGCAATTATACAATTGGACAAATTTTTTTTTCTCAACGTTTTTATTTATTTTTGGGACAGAGAGAGACAGAGCATGAACGGGGGAGGGGCAGAGAGAGAGGGAGACACAGAATCAGAAACAGGCTCCAGGCTCCGAGCCATCAGCCCAGAGCCCGACGCAGGGCTCGAACTCACGGACCGCGAGATCGTGACCTGGCTGAAGTCGGATGCTTAACCGACTGCGCCACCCAGGCACCCCCAATTGGATAAATTTTAAACAAAATTCTATGTAATAAGTATACCATGGAATTAGATCATATAGATGGAAAGGATTTCGCCAGTCAACCTTCGTATTTTACAAATAGGGAAACTGAAGCCCAACAAGATGAAGTAACTTGACAAAGATTACACAACTAGTTGGTAACAGACTCTGGATTGGAACCCAGCTCCTGATGCTTCTGGTCCAATACCTTATGTCTTTTATACTTCAGTGCATTTCTGCAAAAAGTAAATCATAATGCCTTTAATTACACATTTAAATTGACCTCAAAAATAAAAATAAATAAATTGACCTCACTGAATAAGTTTGAAAGTGTTTTCTTCTGTTTCCTGGAAAAGATTGTGCAAAATTTTGTTATTTCTTCTTTGTGTATTTGATAGAACTCACCAGTAAAGCCATCTAAAGTTGGGCTTTTCTTTGTGGGAAAAGATTGTTTCTGTTTTTTCCTACTTTGTTCACTACTTTTTTTTTCAAGTATTGGTAAGGGCTTAAAAATTTTTTTCATTGTGATAAAATATACATAACAATTTACTGTCTTAACCATTTTGAAGTATACAGTTCAGTAGCAGATTTGAGGGTTTTTTAATACCCATTATTGTACTTTTATTTTTTATTATTTTTTTATGTTGATTTTTTTTGAGAGAGAGAGAGACACAGAATCCGAAGCAGACTCCAGGCTCTGGATTGTTAGCACAGAGCCCAGCGCAGGGCACGAACACACCAACCGTGAGATCATGACCAGGAGCTGTCCATTATTTTACTTTTGTTATGACTGTTTTAATACTTGGGTGTGAAATGATACCTCATCGTGGCTTTGATTGCATTTCCCCAATAATTCCAATTAAAATGTTGAAAAGATGTTGGGCATCTTTTCATGTGCTTATTGGCCACATACTTTTCTTCTTTGGTGAAATGTCTATTCAGATCTTTGGCCATTTTTAAATTGGGTTATCTTTGTTATACTGAATTGTAACAGTTCTTTAAATATTCTGGATACAAGTTCTCTGTCAGTCGTAGGATTTGCAAATGTTTCCTCCCGGTCTCTGGTTTGCCTTTTCATTTTCTTCATACTGTCTTTCAAAGTATAAATGTCTTGGGGCGCCTGGGTGGCGTAGTCGGTTAAGCGTCCGACTTCAGCCAGGTCACGATCTCGCGGTCCGTGAGTTCGAGCCCCGCGTCGGGCTCTGGGCTGATGGCTCAGAGCCTGGAGCCTGTTTCCCATTCTGTGTCTCCCTCTCTCTCTGCCCCTCCCCCGTTCATGCTCTGTCTCTCTCTGTCCCAAAAATAAATAAAAAACGTTGAAAAAAAAATTAAAAAAAAAAAAAGTATAAATGTCTTGGGGCACCTGGGTGGCTCAGTTGGTTAAGCATCTGACTTCGGCTCAGGTCATGATCTCATGGCTCATGGGTTTGAGCCCCGCATCAGGCTCTGTGAGTGCTGATAACTCAGAGCCTGGAACCTGCTTCAGATACGGTGTCTCCCTCTCTTTCCACCTCTCCCTCACTTGCGCTGTCTCTCTCAAAAATAAACATTTAAAAAATCAAAGTGTGAACATCTTTGATTCTGATAAAGTGAACCCTACCAATTTTTTGTTCGATGGATCATGTTTTTTGGTATTGTAGCAAAAAAGTCTTTTCCTAATCCACGGACACAAAGAGTTTCTCGTATTTTCTTTAAGAAGTTTTCTAGTTTTACTGCTTACATTTAAGTCCATAATTCATGTGAGTTAATTTTTCTGTGTGGCATGAAGTACAAATAAATCTAAATTCATCTTATGAACATGGCTGTCCAGTTGTGCCGTCACCATTTGTTGAAAAGGCTGTCCTTCACCCCATCAAATTGCCTCGGCACCACTGTGAAAACACAGTTGACCATAAATGGAAGGATTCATCGCTGGATTCCCATTTCTGTGCTTTGGTCTATAGGTCTTTTCTTAGGCCAGTACCACAGGTCTTGATTGCTGTAGCTTTTATAGTAAGTGTTGAACTCCAGTAGTGTAAGTCTTACAACTTAGTTCTTTTTCAAAATTCCAAATACTCTAGGTCTTTTGGATTTCCATAAAAATTTATATTTAACTGGTCAATTTCTACCAAAAAAACATTCTGCTGGAGGTTTGCAGGTATTGTGGATCTACAGATCAATCCAAGAAGAATGGCTGTCTTCATAATAGTGAATCTTCTAGTTCAGGACCTGAAATGTCTCTCCATTTATTTAGATCTTTAGTTTTACATAGTAATGCTCTGTAATTTTCAGTGTACAATGCTTGTACTTCTTTTGTTAAGTATTTCATTCTTTTGATGTTCCTGAGTATTTCCAGTGTTCCTAAGTACTCCTTTTTTCTTGGATTCATTTTTGGATTTTTCATTGCTAAGCATGTAGAAGTGCAGTTGACTTTTTGTATATTGATGTGGTATCCTGTAGCTTTGATGAACTCATTTGTTACTGCTAGTAGTTTTTTTGTGTACAGACTCCTGAGGGTTTTCTACACACAGGATAACATGGTCTGCAAATAAAGACGGTTTTGCTTCTTTTCATATCTGAATGCCTTTAATTTTTCCTCCTCCTCCTTTTTTCCCCCTTCTTGTATAGGATAGAACCTCTAGTACAGTGTTGAGTAGAAAGTGACAAGAGCACACATCCTTCTTTACCTTGTTCCTGATCTTAAGGGGAGAGCATTTAATTGTTCACCATTAAGTATAGTGTTTGCTGTAGGTTTTCATCAATGCTTTTTATCAGGTTGAGGAAATTTCCTCCTGTTTCTAGTTTGTGGAAAGTTTTTATCACAAATGGATTTTGTCATATATATATCATATATATGTCTGTATATATATCATGTGTATGTGTGTATGTACGTGTATATGATGTATGTATATATATTTAAAGAAGATACAGAATGAATTAGTATATCATTCTTGTCACAAGAGCATGAGGACCAAGGTAGCTGGAAGACACACAGGGCTTTTTTTTTTTTTTTTTTTTTTTTTTGAGAGAGAGAGAGAGAGCAAGAGAGAGAGAGAGAGAGCGCGCGCGCGCGCACATGTACGTGCCACGGCACAAACGCAGGCCAGCAGGGGAGGGTCAGATGGAGAGGGAGAGAATGAATTCCAAGCAGGCTCCACACTCTGCCCTGAGCCTGATGTGAGGCTCATTCTCACGACTGTGAGATCATGACCTGAGTCAAAATCAAATCAGGAGTCGGAGGCTTAACCAACTAAGCCACCCAGGCGCCCCTGGTCATATATTTTTATTATATATATGATATATGTATCATATATCATATATACAATTATATATATCTATATATATGATTTGTGTCTGTATTCATGAGGGATATTGGTC